ATTGATCTATATGCCTATTTTTATGCCAATACCATATTGTTTTGATTACTGTGGCCTTGTAGTATGTTCTAATGTCTGGAAGCGTGATCCCCCCAATTTTTTATGCTATTTTCAATAGAATTGTTTTCTTAGCTTCCTTTTCAGATTGTTCACTGCAAATGTATAGAAGTACATTTGATTTTTGAGTGTTGATTTTGTACTCTGCATTTGTTGAATTTGTTTATCAGTTCTAACAGTTTTTTGTGGTATTGTCAGGGTTTCCTACATATAAAATTGTGTTGTCAGTGAACAGAGATAATTTTCCTCTTTCCTTTCCACATTAGATGACATTTTTTTTTTCTTGACTAATTGCTCTAGCTAGGATTTCCAGCACTATGTTTTATGGAAACACATGTTCCCATATTCCATTGCTATTGGCTGGAGTTTTATGGCAAAAGCCAGTGTCCTGGTTTTGTTGCTGAACTTAAAGGAATAATTTCATCTTTACCATTGAATACATTGTTAGCAGAGAGGTTTGTATCTATTTCTTTTACTGTTGTGATAGTTTTCTTTTATTACTAGTTGTTGAACATTTTTACCATGAAAAGGTGTTAAATTTTTTTTTTAAGATTTTATTGGGGAATTGGGGAAGGGGAACAGTGTTGGGGAATTGGGGGAAGGGGAGCAGCCAAGTTGTTGTCCTTTAGTCTTAGTTGTGGAGAGCACAGCTAGTCCAGTTGCCATCGGCTGCCCATAGGCAGCTCGCGGCCGCTCAGCTCAAGGTGTCGTGTTCAATTTTAGTTGTGGGTGGGCATAGCCCACCATCCCTTGAGGGAGTCCAACCAGCAACCTTGTTGTTAGGAGCACATGCTCTCACCAGCTGAGTCATCCTGCCACCTGTTAGCAGCTCAGTGGCAGCTCAGCTTGGGTGCAGCTCACTGGCCCATGTGGGAATCGAGTCGGAGACCCTGTTGCTCACAGCTCGAGCTCTTAACCAACTGAGCCACTCAGCCAGCCTGAAAGGGTGTTGAATTTTATAAAATGTTTTATTTTTGCTTCAATTAATGTAATCTTGTTTTTTTCCCCATCATTATATTAATGTGGTAGACTACATTGATTGATTTTCATATGTGAAACCATCCTTATTTTGCAAGAATAAATTTCACTTGATCATGGTTTATAATCCTTTTAATATGCTAATTCAGTTCTCTAGTATTTTGTTGAGGAGTTTTGCATCCTGGTTCATATGGAATATCGGTCTGTAGTTTTTTCCTTCCTTCCTTTCTTTTTTTTTTTTTTTTGAGTGTGTGTGTCTGCCTCCAATATTTTAAAAATGCTGATTTCATAATATTTGTTAAAAAGTGTTTCCTCATCTTGAAATTTTTAGATGACTTTACAAATTATTGGTATTAGTTATTCCATAAATATTTGGTATAATTCACCAGTGAAGCCATCAGAGTCAGAGCTTTTCTTTTTCAAAAGCTTTTTGATTAACCACCTTGATTTTTTCTGAAGACCCACCTCTTAGTTACATTGATTTTCTCTATTGTTTTTCTATTCTCTATTTCATTAATATTTAGTCTAATATTTACTATGTAATTTACTTGATTATTCTCTTTTTTCTTAGCTAATCTAGCTAATTTATCAATTTTGCTGATCTTTTTGAAGAACCAATTCTTGGTTTTATTGATTTATTTTGTTTATCTAGTCTCTATTTTGTTTATCTATGTTCTAACCTGTGATATTTTCTTATTTTTGCTAGCTTTAGGTTTAAATTATTTTTTTTTCTAGTTTCTTAAGGTAAAACTTTAGATTATTAATTTGAGGTTTAATATTTTAATGTAACCACTTGCAGCTAAATTTCCCTCTTGGCACTATTTTTGTTGATTTTCCCCTAAATTTTAGCATGCTACATTTTTACTTTTTTGTCTTAAGATATTTTCTAATTTCTCTTATAATTTTTTTAATGAATGTATTTTCTAAATATCTACAAATTTTCCAATTTTCTTTTAGCTTTTGATTTCTAGTTTCTCCCATTGTGATAAGAAAAGATGTTTTGTTATATTTCAAACTTTAAATTTATTAAGACTTGTTTTATAGCCTAACATATAGTCTATCCTGGAGATTTTTTTCATGTGTACTTAAGAAAAAGTATATTCCATTGCTGTTGGCTGGAGTGTTCTGTATATGTCTTATCTTTGTCATTTTAGAAACTTTTTTCAATATTTCCTATAGCTTTTTAGTCCCTCATTTTCTCCATTACCACCTTTTTTGTTGTTTATTGGACTTTTTGTGGTGACATATAGATTCCCCTCTTATTTTCTTTTGATATATATATATATATATATATATATATATATATATATATATATAGACAAAAAAAAATATACAAATTTTAAGCAAGAAAAAAACTATTAAAATT